TAAACCATCATGTGTTTGACATCAAAGCTACTGCTCTTCCCGTGTCTCCTTCCTGAGTCGGTGACTCCCACTGCATAGCTACACAGAAGTTTCCTCTACATGTTTAACTTTATAACAGGACTTTATTCTAAACTTCAGCTGCCCTACATTTGATAATCAATCAAATCTACATTGACTGTTACACTGAATGTAATTCAAATTATGTAAAAATGTTTATCTTTCTAGTCATAGCCTTGCCTCTGATATATTAGATCAATTTGAATTATATTCATAGATTTATATTATTTAAAACTATAATTAATTAATTATTAATTATTGCTGAAAATGTTGAAAAATTACTTTGTTTTCAAGTATTCCCTATTTACAGTTTCCCGCCCCTTGCCTGAAAAAAACTGTCAAAGAATAATTCTTCTTTACTTCTAGATATTTAACCTTTCTGCCTGTTGAGGTTTATCACCAACCCTAAGTCTGTTATCTCCCGTAAGGAATGTGCTAATGCAGTCATATGCACTCATTCTCAGTTTTATGACCGGTCAACTCTCTGTCACAGAGCCTAAGAGTCAGGCAAGTGATTGAGTATCTCCAGAATGTTGGGGATATCTCCAGTGTTCCCAGGTGTTTACGCACCATCCCCCAATATGTGGATTAACTCTCTGTAAACTAGTTAAAACGTCTATTCGAGAGAGAGGCTGGTCAGAATTGATGTGGCAACCCACCCGTGCAGTCAGAACCTCTGGCTGCTCTGTGACTTGTGATGTGAATTTCTCCGGCCGATACTTGCAATAAACTATCAGTGTTTGACATCAAAGCTCCAACTCTCCTCGTGTCTCTCTGAGTCCTGACTCTCCATTGCTGCCAAGTTTCCCTTACAAATACTAAATCAGAGCTGCAGCAAAAACAGCTCAGGCTAATGGTTCAGTGTTGTTATATATTCATTAAATGAGCTCCACCATCACAAAACCCTTTTAAAACTGATAAACAAGAACATAAACATTGACAACAGCAGAATTGCGTTCGTTTTCTTTCCTCCCATGTAACGACCTGATGGAATTAAAAAACGGGCATTAATGAAAGAAGAGCGACGCTGAAAATGCTTTAATTTAGTGATTATGAATCTTATTGGGTTTCTTGAGTCACCTTTACGAGAGGGAAAACAAGGTCCAATGCAATGATTACGATTCGTGTGTGTGTGTGTGTGTGTGTGTGTGTGTGTGTGTGTGTGTGGTGTGTGTGTGTGTGTGTGTGTGTGTGTGTGTGTGTGTGTGTGTGCGTGTGCGTGTGCGTGTGTGTGTGCGTGTGTGTGTGTGTGTGCGTGCGTGTGCGTGTGTGTGTGTGTGTGGTATATGACGGACATATTTAGGATGCAGTTTTTAGTGTTGAGGCGGTGCTTGAATATAAATGCTGCATGGGCATGTAAACCTAATCTCACTGCACAGACATTTTCTGACAGGTTCAAAACCTCTGACTGAACACATTTCATGTAGAGTTCACTTGAAAAGAGGCTCACAAATACAACCAGTTATTCTCTGCAGTACTAAAATATTTGCTATATGTGAGGATAGGACGAAGTGTTTCTATCATTTCTGTACATTGTAATTACTATAAACTCACACAGACCATGGATGTATTATTGACAAGCCAAGCTACTTCTATGAACTTAAATTCTACATTGGGCCTTTAATGCTACTCTGTCTTCTACACCCCTATTTGATTTGAACTCTTATTCTAATCTCTGTTTGTTTATTGACCTGTGATTTTGAACAGCTGCTATCCAAATGAGGTCCAGCCTCCATAACTCCAGTATAAGAAAAATGTATTTGAGCAACAAAAGCGTAAAAGAGAGAATAATTTGTTATTACTTTTGGGATCATGAATTGTTCCTTTGTATTTAAGAGACCCTAGCCAGTGGAAGCATTGTTACATGTTTGTAGTTATTTTTCTTATTTAATTTCTAGTTTAAGGATATGTTTAAGGATATGTTTTATTCTCTGGAATATTAGTTTCAGTGACAGCAGAAACTCAATCGCAGGGTATCAAAGGTGCATGTAAACAGTGTAGCCTGGATGGCACCTTAATTGGAGCCCCACTGCCAGGTTACACTCTGCATGCAAATGAAGCTTGCAAAGCATATAAAGCTGCCTTAGATAATCCCACTGAGTCCTTTACAAACAGGAGAGCTCATCCATCTTGTTTGTCAATGACCTTACATTTCCTATAGCAACAAATAGGAGGTTGAGTTTAAGTTTCTACCCTCTTGCTGTTTTCTTTTCATTGTGTGGACTAAGGCAGGCTGCAGACCTCAGGGATGTGAGCTGTGAGTGCCAGACACTTCAGTGCAGTAGTATTTCTAATGCATTGGGAAAGGAGAACAATGAACAAAGAGAAAGGCAAAACAAACTAAATACATTTAACATACTCTGAGACATGTGCAGATAAAAAGAATAGTAAACAGTTTTACCTTGACCTTGTTTTTTCGGATTTGAAACTCTTAGCTGTCAGAAAGGTGCAAGTCTTTTTCATGTGAGCTGTTTTAAAAACAAATTACAATTAGAATCAGAGTTAACTCAACAGCAGGGGCAAAGCTGACCTTTAACACGTCACTTTATTAAGCAATCAATTCATTATTAATTAATCAAATGTTTAATTTAGACCATGTTAAACAGATTGCATATAGAATGCTTGTTCTGCTATCAAATCAAGTCCTCCCTATTCCCAGGTACATTGTCTCCATTAATGAAACACAGCTGCAGGCAACACCATGTCTTTTTACAGGCTCCATTGTAGGGATCATTTATCTTCTTTATTTGCTTGTGTGCTATGTTGCCTTGATTATTTATTTAATTGATTCTAATTTAATTATTATTACTTTTATTGCATTTTATTTTGCTGATGCTTTTATCCAAAGCGACTTAATAAAAGGTTTGGATTTCATATTTGAGAAACACTGTGATTATTAAGTTATGTGATGTCAATTATGGTAGATCTTAAACCATTTTCATTTCAAACGAACCCAAATCCCCCGGCTGAAAAAGTTAATTATATAACATTAATCCCAACCCCACAATTTGAAGTTTACATCACCTACATGGCAGCCACCTTAAAAAGGAACTCAGTGGAACCAAAAGAGACTTATTATAGGAAGCACACAATGCAGGATACACAATGGTAGCCTCAGGCGTTTAAACCCTTCCTCCCCCATATTTACTCTCTAATGTGCAGTACTCTCTCTACTCTCACTCAGTTTCATCACTCTATATCACTTTATGTGGAATCCATTTCATACCCATTTTGTACTTTTTCATAATGTCATCTCTTTTTTTTTAATAAGCAGTACTGTATGTATCAAAGTCTGATTTATTTTCTTTCGATTCAGCATTCTCTAAAATGGCTCTAGAGTCATTGAAAAACATGAATTCCATTATGTCCTTGCTTCTGAAAGACATATTATGCATAATCCGCTTTTAAAGCAATAAAAGCTTTTTTGCCTGTCGTGTTCTTTTCATTAAAGGCATATCCTAATATAAAGCTAAAACTAGTATCCCCTCTGAGACGGACGGGTAAGACTGTACATGTTTGTTGGATTACCAGAGCTTTGTTCTGTTTTCAGTTTGGCTGATATTAGAGGTCACTGCAAACATTCTGTGCATAATAATTAATTATCTTTCAGTGTTTTGATTTTTTTACCCAAATGGCGAGAAAGACTTATATGCAATTGTAAGCTATTCCAATTATGCTCATAATCTTACCAATTCAAAAGCTTAAAATTGGAATGCGTTAACATTTTTCTTTAAAGTAATAAAGTGCTCTTTGAGGTTTTCGCAGAATGAGCCATTCTGATTTCCTGCTGTGAATTATCACTCACACACTTAGACACACATGAACACAAAGTGCATAGGACTAAAAACTGTGAAATTACCCATTGAGAGGGTCTTGGCGGTTCTCAGACATTAGCCATCCCATCACTCATAGGCCAACTGTAGTGACACACACATATACACACACATTCACATACACAAAAGCACAATCTGGGAAGACAGGGGGTATTGAACATTTAAATATAGCTCCATTAAAGTTAATGACACACACATTTCCACATGGTGTGCGTACGCGTTTGAGTGAATTGGCAGAGAGAATGTGAATATCACATCCAGGTTGAGTATTCTCGACTTTTCACTCTGGTTTTAAAACTAACGTTCATTGAATGTGAACAAGAAGCCATGTTAACAAGCACCTTATTTTCTATTAAAAACTTCTCACCTTGGGTCACTTTGACTTGATCTCAATAAAGGCTGCAAGCTCAAATTGTACACACACCTACAGTTTGCTCAAACATATTAAACAAGGACATAAATATATCGTATACCCACAAAGTAATGAAGATAAGCCAACAAACCATTATTGCTTATTTTGCTTTTAACATATGGTTGCTGTGAAGTCCTGCAGTAGATGAATCAAGTAATATTGTTGCATTTCTTTTACGCCAGTGTGTAATGGAACATCTGTATGCCGGGGTGAGTTAGAAACCCACCCTTTATTGCCTATGATGAATGTACATATTTCATCCCATAAACAAAGACACACAGCAGAAGTGGTCTAAGGAACAATACCAAACCGTTATTAAAAAACTATTCTCAACCATACATATGTGGTGAGGCTTCAACTAGAGACTGATTTAAAGTCCTTAAAATACTGGCTAAATGTATATACAGTATAGGCCACAGTTGGTACAGAAACATGCTCTGAAAGTAGAGATTTAGCCAAGAAAAACGAAAGATATGCACAAAGAATAGATGCGTATAAAATGTTGCTGCAAGTGAAAGTCAGCGTGTCACACTGTTTTAACAAATATATTGGTCGATCAGTGGTAGCATATGCCTCCACTTACTGTATGTTTGGTGTATTAAACAAGGCTTTTGCTCCATAAATCAACTGCATGTTTTTGAATATTCACCTTTCTGAATTTGTGCCCACTGTATGTAAATGCCTTTTCTTTCTTCCAGGTGAAGTATGGTCGATTTGGCTTCGTGTGGGATGCGGCAGTGCTGGAATATGTTGCTAATAATGACGAGGACTGCTCCTTCTACGCTGTTAGTAGCAATGCACCGGACCGTGGATATGGAATCGCCATGCAGCACGGCAGCCCCTACAGGGACATTTTCTCCCAGAGGTAAGACTTGTAAACAATACACTACACTTTTTGTTCCATCCTGTTCATCTTACTCATATTGTCTTCAGTTTTTGTGGCCACTCCTGTAAACTATGCCCATCTTCCTGCTTGGAAAGTCTGCTCGGGGAGCCAGACCCCAAGGAAATTGCAGAAAATAGTCATTGTCACAACTAACTGCAGCTAGCTTGCTTAACATCAGCGTAAACCATTGGTTCACATTATATCTCTGCATAGCCCCTTCCATACAATCATGCACTCTAAAGTGCTTAACACACTGTCAGTAAGTGTAACAACACAGAATCACAAACAATTGAACAGTTCACAGTGTGCATGCATCCAAATGATCCCAGCTGTTCACCTTGTTGCTAAGGTGCACCGTTGGGGGGGGTGGGGTTGTTCTGTCAAAGTCATTGACCAAGAAGGTAACATAATTCATTACTTTATCCGTTCATTCTTTTCTTACTTATCTTGTCCGTCATAGTTATAAGGAAGTTTGGTTATTAGACCTAGTGCAGGGATGCTCGAATTCGGATACAGGAGTGTTCATAATGCCCCTAAATAATGGTAATAATGATTACAAATGATTTCTAGGGCAGAAAGTGGGGACAGAAGCCCCATGCAGCACCTTTATCCGTTCATTCTTTCCTTACTTATCTTGTCCGTCATAGTTATAAGGAAGCTTGGTTATTAATGCAAACAATGCACCGATGTCATTGAGTCATCTTCTCCCATGCTGCTCATCTGCTATATGTGCTGTGCAATATCGAGGGTCCATTCATTCTTTTTAATTCAATGGTATGATATAAACCACATCACCATACTGCAGGTTCAGTCATATGAGGTGATATGTGACACATAAGATATTGCCTGCATCCCAACAAAGAACATTTATTTATTTTCAGATCATCACTTCAAAAGAAGGAAAACAAATAATGTTCTATGCCTTTATTATGCTGTAAATTATGTAAAATAGTCTGTCAGTGTTGTTTGACATACAATTGTGTGTGTGTGTGTGTGTGTGTGTGTGTGTGTGTGTGTGTGTGTGTGTGTGTGTGTGTGTGTGTGTGTGTGTGTGTGTGTGTGTGTGTGTGTGTGTGTGTGTGTGTGTGTGTGTGTGTGTGTGTGTGTGTGTGTGTGTGTGTGTGTGTGTGTGTGTGTGTGTGTGTGTGTGTGTGTGTGGTCTAGCATTACTATACTTGTGGGGACCTAAATCTGTTTCCATAGTCACGTGTGGGGACTGGCTTCCGACAAATCGGAGGTCCCCATGAGGGGAATCATTAATTTTAGGGTGAAGACTTGGTTAAGTTTAGGATTAGGGTAAGGTTAAGGGTTAGGGTTAGGCATGTGTTGGTTATGGTTAAGGTTAGGATAAGTCTCCAGGAATAGCATGTAAGTCAATGTAATGTCCCTGAAGTGATGTATACATGGTGTGTGTGTGTGTGTGTGTGTGTGTGTGTGTGTGTGTGTGTGTGTGTGTGTGTGTGTGTGTGTGTGTGTGTGTGTGTGTGTGTGTGTGTGTGTGTGTGTGTGTGTGTGTGTGTGTGTGTGTGTGTGTGTGTGTGTGTGTGTGTGTGTGTTGTGTGTGTGTGTGTGTGTGTGTGTGTGTGTGTGTGTGTGTGTGTGTGTGTGTGTGTGTGTGTGTGTGTGTGTGTGTGTGTGTGTGTGTGTGCATGTTTGTTTGTGTCTACTTGTCAGCACTGTAATAGCAGCAATGAAACACACAAATATAATGCTACTGTGTGCATGTTTGTGTGTTTTGGCGCTGCTGTTCTGTGATTGATGGAGACCGTTTGCAGATTTATCAGTCAGAAAAGAACTAGTCCACTAATTTAAACTGACAGCTACTGACAAGTTGTTTTGAAGTGCCAAAGGGGCAAGATTTTGAAAAAGAATAAGCCTTCTCTCCCGGGCATATATTATTTATCTCCGTGAGTGTCTTAAGGCATTGATGTGAGCATTTAAAATGGAAGATTTAATCCTTACCAGGTGGACATCTTGAGGTGCTGCAGTGTAAGGAGATAAGCTGCAGGCCAGACAATTTATCGTGCATACTGAACACAATTACGTTTTACAATTCAATTGCAAGATAGATGAGGTGTGTGATATTATGTTCAGGACTGCAGTATTTCGATATTGACACCATCTTCAGTGTACAAAGTGCAACAAATTAAATAAATGTGGATGATAAATGTCAGAAAAACAGTTTATATCATATAACATGCTTTTTGGTAAGATATCAAGGTCAGTCTTTTTATTATAAAACATTTTTCTTTCCAATTTATGCACACATGCGGTGAGCAAAAAGGGCCTCATCTGCCATATTCATTTGACTAGGGTTACATAACATTCATCACCAGCTAACATTCATGTTTTTTTTATGACCTGGCTGCAGGCCAGTGTTCATCATTTGCCTAAGGGCTGATATTTGAGTGCTTCTAAAATAAAGTGATGGTCCGGTACCCTGTATTTCTGTGGGGACCATGGCAGTGCTGTATGGTACGCTTGAGGGGCCAAATGACATACACAACAGCGACAAGTCATTGCAGCAATCACAGAAATATCACACCACATGAGACTATGGGTTATATTGTTATAGTTAGCTTGCAGCAGATGCTGGCTTCATTCTGTTTGAATGACATTAGCCATTTGCTTGTGGCTTGTAATTATTCTGACATAGGTTGTATGAAAGTAATCACAGCAAAGATATCAGCTATTAGCTCTGATTGCTTACCAAATAAGTCTGGATATTGTAGCTGTGAGGAAATTGAACTTTTTGATGGTTTGAAAACTCGTTATTTCTCATAAAGAGAACATATTTGTGTTAAATCTCCATAGAGGGCGTGCTAAATATTTTTATATTGTTGATTATGGTTTCATGTGAGTAATGTGACAGTGTCAAAAGGGCTGATTTGCTCCGTAACCCAGCTAATGTGTCTCCCTTGTCTTTATATTAGCCTTAAATCCAATAATCCATGCATCCTTTCCTTCTACAATCTGAGACTTTTCTTGCATGAATTTGATATCCTATCAAAGACGATTTATTGAAATCCTACCGGTAAAAGTGATTTGCGACTAACAGGGCCGGCCCTCGGCATAGGCAGTATAGGCGAATGCTAAGGGTGCATCAACCCATAGGGGGCGCGACGAAAATTGGGGAGATAAAAAGAGAGAAAAAAGTTAGAAATTTAAAAAATTGTTTTTTTAAAATTTCATAACAACACAATTTCCTGATTTTGGATCAACAAAGTACATCTTATTATATTATACCAACAGAACTACGCCTATATTGCGTAATCAAGTTGAACTGCCCCAGCCCCAGTAAAAACCAGAGGTTTATGTGAAATTGTTCTTTTTTTGAAATAATGGTAGTGTGCAATTATAGGTTTTAATTTTATATTTGTGTTAATTTAAAAATAAATCAAACTCCCAAAAAACATACACAGCTTCTGTGTGCTTTTATTAACATTGGAATTTACTGTGTAAGCGACCGCGGGGGGGAGAGCTTTAGAGAGCTCTCTCCTGAAAGACTGAGAGGCTCTGATAACCTCAGCTCAGTGAGGTAAAGGCACACCTTTATATGATCATTATAGTTATACAAAAATAAGAGAATAGGTGAAAAACAGGTATAAAATACTATATGACAGTACAAAAAAGTTGTTATTAATAAACAAGAATACAGTTTGAAAGGGGAATGATTTGTAAAGTATCCATAAAGAAAAAGAAAATCTACTTACAGTTCTGTTTTATATGGGTGTTGAGAGATGTATCCATAGATCTCCTAATGTTGCTCTCAAAGTGCACCAGATTGACGCTTTTAACTTCAATATTACACAATATACACCACAACCATGCACGCGCGAGTCATAGTAAGTGTAACGCCCCGTCCACACAGCGGCGTGCGTTAAAGCTTCCAAACGCTTCTGCCCATTCACTTTGAATGGGGTGACGTCACTTTTAGCCAAACTGCATTTTGGGAAGCGACGTGGAGCGTTGCTGGCATTGCAAGCTTCAAAAGTTGAGCAATGTTCAACTTTTGACGCCTCGACGGAGGCGTCAGCCAATGAAATCCCGTTTATGCAAATCTGCCAGTACAAGCGCTAGCCAATCAAACCGCGTGTATGCTGGGAGAGACTGCGCAGGTCATTTCCTCAAACCCAAAAAATGGAGGAGAAATTAATTATAGCGGTAGTGAATCACCCGGTGTTATATGATCAGTCTCTGTTCATCTACCGGGATACAAACTGGAGGAGCCAGGCATGGAGGGAGGTGGCAGAGACAGTGGGTGGAACTGTTGGGGAGTTTATATTATATATGATATTCTGAACAAACTGTGCTGTTGTATTAGCTGTAACGTGTCTCTACTGTAGGCTAGTTTTATTATATGTACAGCACTTTGGCTCGACCAAAAATCGTTTATAAATGTTTATAAATGTGCTATATAAATAAAACTTGATTTGATATATCCAGTGTACTTAATTTTAACATTGAATGGACAGCTTGCAGGCATAGACAGTATATTTAGCAAGCATGGAATGTAGCATAAAATAGCACCATAGACATTAATGTCACAAATGTTCATCATATAAAGTGTGAATGTAAAACCTTTTGTGCAAATGACAGTGATAAAGGGATTTGCTTTTCATTAATGTAGGAATAATTTAGTCAATTCTTCAAGTAGTTCAACAAATTAACTTTATTATTTCATTTCATTAGAGGAATTGTGCAGGACAAGGTGGAAGTCTCTGAGGGACAGGTTCCGGAAGGAGAAAGCTAGGGAGAAGGAGGCAAAAAGAAGCGGGGCAGGGTCGTCAGGGGGATATAAGCCCTGGCGTTTCACGGCAGTGATGGGTTTTTTAACCCCATTTCTCATTGACCGTGAAACGTCCAGCAATATCCCCCGGCAAACCCTGCCTCCACCCCCCTGTACTACTCCTGACCCCAGCCAGGTGCCAGAGGATGAGAGCCAAAGCCAGTTAGATGAAAGCCTTGGTGAGACTCAG